ATCCAGCTCAGACAGTCCACTCCTCGAGCCTCAAAGGGCGGAGCAGCGAGCCCCGCAACGTCCCGCCAACACGGCACCCAGACCCCACGCAGCATTCTCATCTCGTCATTTTCTGGTTGCTAACAAACGCCATTGTAACACATAAACACTGATGTTCCGCTGTAACGGTGGTGGACTCATCAGAACAGAGTGGGCGAGCTGCCCAATCAGAGCACAGTCAGGAGCTCCAACAAGCCGTTTAGGACAGAGAATACACATACTATAAAGAGATGCTGTATGAGAAACCAATGTGATTTTGGAACATTGAACAATGTAAATATATTCTAGTAGAACTCAACAATGGTATTATGATCAGTAGAAATGGCCATGACATGGGACCTTTAAGACATGATTTATTATTTCTTAAGTAGGCAAATTTACTTCCAAAATAAAGAGACAGTGGCTCGTCAACAGTGCCTAAATCTTTATTTTTCAGTAAGCTACATTTTTTTTCTCCAAATTAGACAGTTTTACATCATGACACAGAGTAACTTAAATTATCTATAGCTGACATGTACGCTTGATTCCAGTCTCGATGGAAGAAAAGACCAAAAAACATAAAGAAAACATTTTTTTTTAAAAAGAAAGAAAAAGCCCTCTTGAACGCAACCTCCGTTTCCACGTCTGTTTGAGGTGTCGTTAGGCAAATCATTATTCGTCCAAAGTCATCGATTGTCCACAGCCGTTAGCATGGTGTTAATGAGTTAAACCACAGTGCGTTGATAAAGAGAAACCGGTCGGTCGGTCGGTCGGTGCGCATCACGAGATATTACATGTTTGAGATGCAACCCCTTTGAGGAAACAAAAAACAAATGGCACTGTCAAAAAAACGGACGAACAGGAAGGAAGGAGGAGAAATGATATGAGGCTCCGAGAAGAAGTCCAACGAGAGGAAGGAAATCCTCGAAAACGCCCGCCAACAGGAGCGTTTGTTATAATGCCGGTGAAGAACGTGCAGAACTGGAGACGTCCCTTTGGGTACCAACGAGTCTGAAAAGAGTCACCTTTGCATGGGTTTGGATTTCTGTGGGTACACTTATTTATTCCATACATGCACACATTCACAGTTCCCAGTTCAAATGCATTTAACTCCACAAAAAAGTTCGAGGTATAACGCACAGGGAATCTGCTCCGACAGTCAGCGGTGTCACATTTCTCCAGATGTGAGAAGTCTTTGATGGACTTTCAGGAACGAACAAAAAAAAAAAAAAGCCAGAGATGGCAAGCGATCAGCTATGTACAGGTTAAACTGCCCAGGACAAAAAAACAACAACAGTTGAATAAATGGCACAGTTACTGGTTTATCTTTGCCACAAAATGCAGTCCACATGTGGTCAAATGGTTTCAAACAGACACTTCAATCTGTATGTGCCAGACATGTCGGTCTGTGTAAAACAAAAAACTGTGATTCCAGTTGAGCTTCTGTCTCCAAACTCGCCCCATAACACAAAACAGAAACATTATTTGTACATGTATTTCTCAGGAGAGCTCTGAGGAACAGGAAACAGATCAATCGGAAGGAAAAAACAACTTTCTGGATGTTTCGTCTAGTAGCTAAATCGACACACGGGTGAAGTTCAGCCATCCTTGTCGTGACGCCAATAAATCTCCCAACATTTCACGTTATTTCCCAAAATAAGTGTCTTTTTTCTGAAATGAGTCACCAAAAATGTACAATCCACAGGTCCAAATGTTTGTCGTCACGTTGGCAGGAAGCTAACCACCTCGAGTGCTACAAGCTAAATGACTGAAATGTGCTTGAAGTGTGCTTCATTTTTGATATCGTTCATTTCATTACATCACATCGAAGCGTGTGAATTAAAACAGACGACAAAACTGGGACGTGTCCATCAGGCATCGCTCTTTTAAAAAAAAAAAAGAAGATGGCTAGAAGAGGTGAAGCTCGTAGCGAAGTTTAATGTTAAATCAGTGCTGATGCTTCTTATATTTAGAAAGAAAGTTCTGCTGTTTTACTTCTATACATTCCTGATTTTGTCATGGAGTGTTTTCCTTTTATCAGTCTGCAAAGCTAACAAGTTTCTGTCCATATTCTAAGAGAAACAAGCAACAACTATCCGTGAAAACCAACCAGAACCACCATTGAGAATTTAGTTTGTTAGAAAGAAAAACAACCAATCAGTAAAGAAACACAAACAATTTCACCCGATCTGAATTGTGTTATCGCCAAAAACTAGATAGCATAGGTACATAACTAGGACTCAGCCCAATTTCTGTAAACCTGGGTCAGTCCAACTTCTGAAAAAAACTAAAATATAAAACTTAAAATACACTAACATACAACAACTACATCTCCCATGACCCTTAGCTAATAATGCATACAAAGTCTGGTCTAATTATGTCAAAGGTTACTGATTTCATTACAATTTTTGACTGTGATCCAACATTCTATACCAATATTTGAACGATAAGCACAGGATGAGTCAGGATGTGGTTAGCCTAGCTTAGCATAAACACTGGTTGCAGATGGCAACAGCTAGCGTGGTTCTGTCCAATCTGCTTACAAACAAATCTAAAGCTCAAAAATGAACTTAATCCTTCTTGTTTTTTTTTAAGATGAATGTTTTCTGCCTATGTTCTAAGCCAACTGTTTTTTGTCTATGTGCTAAGCTAGTTAGTTAGCTTAATTTATCACATGGATAGAAAACAGACAAAAAACAGTTATCTCACCACATTGTTTTCTGTCTGTCTGTCTGCTAAGCTAACTGTTTTCTATCAATGTGATAAGCTAAGCTAACTGTTTTTTGTCCATGTGCTAAGCTAACTGTTTTCTGTATGTCTGCTAAGCGAACTGATTTATATCCATGTCATAAGCTAAGCTAACTGTTTTCTATCCATGTGATAAGCTAAGCTAACTGTTTTCTATCCATGTGATAAGCTAAGCTAACAGTTTTCTATCCATGTGATAAGCTAGGCTAACTGTTTTCAGTCTGTTTGCTAAGCTCACTGTGTTCCCTCTATTTGCTAAGCTAACTGTTTGCTGTCTATGTGA